TTCCGCGCGCTCTGCTTCCATGTCCCCCTTTTTCCCCCGCCGCATTTTGCGCTAACGCTTCTAGCTCCTCTCGCGGCGCGCTTCGTTGTCACTGCACGCGTCTCGCGGTTCCTTCTTCCCCTACTGAAACTCGTACTATCCGCCCGCTCTTTCCGCTCATCCTCTCTCCTCCGCCGAATCGTGCGTGGAGGCCCATCACCCCGTGGACTGCCACCGTCGCCGTCTCCCGCAAAGGCGGCTCGACTTCCGCCGTCCCGCGCGCCTTTTCCAGCGTTTGCCCCGACCCCTCGCGCGGGCTAGCGTGCGGCGCGGGGAAGAGAGCAGCGGAAGTGGTAGGTGACTCGGTACTAGAATCTGATTCCGCGTTAGAGTCTGATCTGGGCCCGACGCTGCCAGACACGCTCGTTGGGTCGGCGAGCGCGCCGGAAATCGCGCCGGAAGTAGCGGCGGAAATTGCGGCGGAAAGCGCGGCGGGATCGGGGGTGCTGGTGGAGATGGACGTGGTTCGCGCGAACTTCGAGGAGGGTCTGGCGGCGTTCGAGGAGGCTTTAAAGACGTGTGACCTGGTGGCGTTTGATGGCGAGTTCACGGGGTTACACGTCAGCAACACCAGCAACTACGGGTACTGACGACGCCACGCACGGATTGCCTGGTTGCACCCAAACTTCCCTTGGCCTTGTTGCTGTTGTTGCTCAAACTTCTCTCCAAGTTGCGCCTCCATTGTGGGCTGTGCTGTGCTATGCTGTGCTCTTCTTAATTCTCGGTATTTGACCAAGAAGCTTGTTGGTCCCTTACATCCCCTCTTCCTCCCCTCCCGTCCCCCGGCCCGCCTCTCTCCCCCCTCACCTTCCCCCTTCCCCTGCGGCTGCGCACGACCACGCGCGTGCGACCAGATTGCAGCTGCTGGACTCGCCGCAGCAGCGGTACGAGCGCGTGAAGGAGGGCGCTGGCAGCTTCTTCACCATGCAGGTGAAGGGAGGGCGAGGGAAGCTGAGGGCGGAAAGGGACGGGATGGTGGAGGAGGGGATTGTAAAGAGTGGGGTTGAGGGGGGGATGAGTGGGGAAGGACGAGAGGCAGGGGTTCCGGAGTTGGGGGGTTGGGCTGGGGGAGATTTGACGTTTGAGTTTTTTCGCTGGGCGCAACACGATCACTGGGGAAAAGGCATGGGGAGAAGAGACACGGGGGCGTTGAGTTTTTTCGCTCAATGCTCAGGTGCGAGAGAGAAGGCAGAGGGCAAAAGAGCACCTTTTTTAGAGCGAGGGCGGCTCTTAGATTCTACCTTTCATGGCACTTTCTCCTTCATGGCACCCTCTTCTCTCCTGTGTGTTTCCTTCACACAATCCCCATAATCCCTCCCCTCTCCCCCGGTTGCTCCCCGCCCCGTTTCTCCCATCCCACTCACTGGAGCATAACCGTCTTCTCCTCACCCCCACCCCCTCCCTCCTCCACCCCCCTCCGTCCGCTCCCCATGTGCGCGGGCACCAGCTGGGGTTCAGCGCACTGGCATGGGACGAGGGCAGGGGGGCATACAGTGCGCGCACCTTCAACTTCAACATCTTCCCGCGCCCCTTCCCCGGCTTCGACCTGCGCTTCCTCTGCCAGGCACGCCTGCTCTGCACCCGCCACTCCCTGCCTCCTACCCAACACTCACGTTCTCCCACGTCATCGCACCTCTCTTCAACCCTTGTCACCTCTCGCCACTGTACAAATCGCCTCTCCGTTCATCCCATCCCGTCCGCCCAGTCCACTCGACTCCCCTCCCTCCCACCCACTGCATGCCCCAGGGTCGCTCGCAGTCCCCCCTTGATTCTCGGTTCTCTTCCACCTCTGTCGTTGCCTCTGCCTGACGGCCCATTTGTTCTTGCCTGCCTGCGCGTTTCCGTGTGTGAGGGCGCACGCACGCACGCTTGCATGTGCACGCGGGTGCCTGCCTGTGCATGTGAATCTGTGCGTGCTGCTGTGCATCGGCATGTGTGTGCATGCATGCATGTATGTACCGATCGTCACGTGCTGTGGTGCGGTGCGGTGCGGTGAGAGCAGGCGTCATCAATGGACTTCTTAGCGCGCAACAACTTTGACTTCAACAAGTTCGTCTACCAAGGTACCCTACCCATGTAACCCTCTCAACCTACCCATGCTATATTCTCTCTCCATCACCTCTGAGTCTGCTGCTGGCGTCGCTACTGCTGCTGATGCTGCTGCTACCCCCCCGCCGCCGCCGCCGCCGCCGCCACCGCTGCTGCTTTGAACTTGCACCACCTTTCCTGCCCACACAGCGTTCACTCCTTTCTTCCCTCCATCCAGTCCCCTCCCGCTGCCTCTCCCATCACGCACTGAATTGCCCCTCCAACGCTCTTCGCCTGCTCTTCCGATCCCACCCTCCCAGTCCTCCCTTCTCTTCGCACCCACCGCATTTCACCCCTTCCCCATTTATCCTCTCCCCCTTCTTCCCGCCCACCCCTCCTCTCCCATTTCCCCACTCTCCCCCCTCACAAGGCGTGCCGTACCTGCCACTGGAGAAAGCCGAGAGGGAGAGGCGGCGCCTGCGAGCATCATTCCGGAGCAGCAAGGGCGGGGGAGAGAACGGGGCAGGCGCGGATGCGAGCAGCAGGCAGCCACAGCGGGCGCCCATAGTGCTGTCTCGGCCCGAGGACAGGCTGGCAGTGGGGCAGCTAGTGGATGACGTGCGCACCTGGGTGCTCTCCACCTCGCCCCCTCCCACTCGCCTCGCCCCTCTCTCCGCACCTGCTGCTGCTGCTGCCGCTGGTGGTGCTGTTGCTAATGGCAAGGCTGGTGCTGCCAGTGGGGACGCAGCAGCAGGCGAGGCGGGAGGAGCAGCAGAAGGGAAGGGGGAGGGCGAGGGGGGCGAGGCGGTGCAGCTGCAGGTGGTGGCGGGGAACTCGTTCCTGCGCGCTGCACTGGTGCAGCAGCTGGAGGAGGAGTTCGGGCAGAGCTCCTTTTATGTCGTGCGCGGGGAGGTGAGCCCGTGTGGTGCTGAGGTGGTGAGGGAGTGAGGTGGTGAGGGAGTGAGGTGGTGAGGGAGTGAGGTGGTGAGGGAGTGAGGTGGTGAGGGAGTGAGGTGGTAAGGGAGTGAGGTGGTGAGGGAGTGAGGTGGTGAGGGAGTGAGGTGGTGAGGGAGTGAGGGGGTGAGGGAGTGAGGTGGTGAGGGTGTGAGGTGGTGAAGTGATGAGGGGTTGAGGTTGTGAGGTGATGAGCATGGACATGTGTGGCTTTGGACATGTGTTACTGTTTACATGTGTGGCGGCTGCATGTCTCTTATTGCTTGATGCGATGCGCTTCAAGACTGCCCTTAACCCGCCATCCTTACCGCTGTGACGGTACTTCCATGTTCTGCTCTCCTTCTCCCTCGACCCCTACACACCCCCTCTCCTCCCTCACCCTTTTCCCCCTCCCCATTCTCCTTTCTCCCTCCCCCTCCCCTCCCCCCAGCGCCCACAGCGCGGCCCTGAAACCCTCCTGCTAGTCCGCGCAACCCAGGAGGACGCGGAGGAGTGGGGGCGGCAGGAGGAGCAGCGGCAGCAGCAGCAGCTGGAAGCGGCCATCGGGTTCACGCGGGCAGTGGAGGCGGTGATGCGTGTGAGCAAGGAGCGCGGGGTGCCGCTGCTGGCACACAACTGCCTCTTTGACCTGGCATATCTCTTCCACCACTTCATCCGCCCCATGCCCGACTCGCTCAATGACTGGCGCCACCAGGTGCGTGCGACTGTGCACGGCTCTAGTACGGCTTGCTTGTTCCTGTTCCAAGGAAACCCCTTCTGAGCCCCCCCTGAACTTGTGCTTCTGGAAAACTCTCCACTCCAACAAACCCGTTCATCACCCTCTCTCCCATCGCCCCCTTCCTCTCTCAGTTCTCCATCTCTCCAATCATCCCGTCCGTCTCTCATTGCCCTCTCTCGCATCGCCCTCTCTCCCCACGTGCGCCTGTGCCAGTTCCTAGAAGCCTTCCCCGGTGGCGTGTACGACACCAAGCACCTCGTCTCGCTCCTCCCGCCCGCGCTGCTCCCCTCCAGCACCTCCCTCTCCTCACTCTTCGAGTTCTTCTTCCACCGCCCTGCCTCACCCTCCTCCACTCCTGTGGGTGACAATGACAAGGAGGGTGAGGAGGCTGCGGCGGGGGAAGGTGATGGGAGTACACGTCCATTTGCTTGCTTTCTCGATGTTGCTGTGGCTGTCAATCAAGAGAAGGAAGCAGAGGGCGAGGGGGTGAGGGAGCGAGGAGAGGGGGTGCGTGAAATCGGTGGAGAGGACACGGCAGGAGCGGGTTGCGAGAGTGTGAAGGGAGGCGAGGGGGAGGGGGGGAGCAGAGGAGGGGAGCAGGAGGAGGCAGGGGGGGAGGAGGCGGTGGTGAGAGTGCAGTGGCCGGCAGTGGTGCATGGGGAGGGGTTCAGCCGCTACAGTCATCTGTCGCCAGACAACCCTGCCATGGCACATGAAGCAGGGTGAGTTCCACCGCTGCCGCTGCGGATGGTTACACAGCCACGGTAGTACGGGTCGGGACAGTTGGGCATGGGCGGTTGGGAACGGGGCGTTTGGGTGTGGGCAGGGCAGTGGGATATGCGAGTTGAAGAATGAAGCATGCTACTCTATGGGAATGTTGTCATATGGCCTTTTGAGAATTCTCAAAGGTTACTCTAATCTTGTCCTGTTGCCATTCGGTGCAATCCTCTCATCACACACCTTGCTGTTTCCCCGGCATGTGTTGTGTTGTGCATTTGTCCCTCCACCATCGCTGCGCCCAGCTTTGATGCGTACATGACAGCAGCAGTCTTCGTTGCCATCTCCTCGCTCCTCGCCTCGCCTACCCTCTTCTCCAAGGTCACACACTCACTGATACTGCACCTGCACTTTGTGAACTGCATCATCATCAACACAGCAAAGTCAGTTGCTGTACCAATGCATTCAAACTTCCTTGTCACATGACCTCCTTGCCGCATGACCAGCTTTGAGAGAGAGCCCATCAGCTATTTTAGTCCTCCTATCAACCTTTGCCATTCTTCTCATTTTTCGTACAAAACTCCTCCTGTCTGCAGAGTGTGAAGGTCTTGCCTCGTGCATCAACTCCTAAAGCAGAAGCACCAGGAGCACCAGCAGCAGCAGCAGCACCAGCAGCAGCACCACCAGCAGCAGCAGCAGCACCAGCAGCAGCACCAGCACCAGCAGCAGCAGCAGCAGCAGCAGCAGCAGTAGCAGCAGAAGCAGAAGCAGGAGTAGGAGTAGGAACGCGATCTGCAAAAGCCAGTGCAGCAGCATCCAGAGCAGGCAGAGGTGATTCAACCACTGCAACTGGGACCACCACATGTCTCAACACAACCACCAGCACCACAGGCAATGCCGGCACCTTGACAGGGAACACAGCAGCACCCACATATGCAGCCATGCGCAGCTGCACCTCCCCATCGCGCATCAACCTCACCAACCCATCCTCACCGCTTTCAGCCCATCGCAACCGTGTTAATGTCATGTTCTGGGACGTGAAAACCCTTCCTCTCGACGGCCCTCTGCCTGCCCCTGACCGCTCTAACCTCTTCCTCCTCTCAGGCTTTGATGCTAACTCCAACACCACCTCCTCTATTCTTGACCTCTTCCAGTCAGTAGGATTGGGAGACGTTCGGGTGACCTGGGTAGACCGAACCTCGGCGGTGGTTTCCGTTGCTGATCCGAGCCTGGCTGCGTTGGCGGTGAGTGCAGTGGAAGGGTCTGGGTGGGTGGGAATGATAGAGGCATGGAGAGGGGCGGAGGAAGAAGAGTTGGAGAAGGAGAAGGAGGGTGGAGAGGGGGGGAAGGAAGTTCGGAGGAGAGAGCGGGAGATTCAGAAGGAAGAGGAGGAAGGTGTTGGAAGGTCAGGAAAGCTTCCTAGAAGGAGAGGAAGAGCGACGGAGGAGGAGGAGTTTAAGAAGGAGAAAGGGGCATGTGCAGTGATGTAGCAGGCAGTCTCCATTCGTGCACTGATTGGTGAGCATCTGTGGAGTTGTTACTTGCATTGGTAACGAATCTCTTTTTGTCTTCCTAACTGATCATGATGTTCATCATTGGCTGCTTAAACTGTGTAACATCTTTTGGTCAAGTTACAAATCGAGCGCGATCAAAACTTGGGAACAGCAATGCCTCGAGAAACCAGATGAATAATACCGTAATTGTTTCTCAAACTATTTAAGATAAGTCGTCGAAAACAATGGCCCTGGTTGGTAGCTATAAGGAAAATTTTGTTTTCCATACTTCGCATCCCTGCTCAGCGAGTACATCACTGTTCCCGCCAACAGCTCCCAACAGTGCACCGTGTCAAACTATAATGCTGCTTATGTTGTGTAGGCTGTAGTGGGGTAGCCTATATAGGGTACAACCCAATAAGGGTTAGCACTTGTATTCAGTTTGATGTCCATGCAGTCATTCCTGCTCGTTAGTTTCTGACATGGTTTCAGAGCAGTAGGTCTGTAGGACCATTTTTTTTCGGGCCCACCATTACCTAGTGACCGACTGCGGTTACCGCGTTACCCCACGCCCTGCCCTGCACTGCGCCGTCAGCGCGCCCTGCCCTGCCCTGCCTTGCGTCACACTGTGCATGTACGCCCTGCCCTGCCCCGCGTCGCGCTGCCCCGCGCACGCCCTGCCCCGCCCCGCGTCACGCTGCCCCGCGCACGCCTTGCCCTGCGCGTCGCGCCCTGCTGCAGCCCGCGCGTCGCGCTCTACTGCTCCGCGCGTCGCGCCCTGCTGCAGCCCACACGTCGCGCCCTGCTGCCCTGCACGTCGCGCCCTACGGCAGCCCGTGCGTCACGCTCTGCTGCCCCGCGCGTCGCGCTCTGCTGCAGCCCGCGCGTCGCGCCCTGCTGCAGCCCGCGCGTCGCGCCCTGCTGCAGCCCGCGCGTCGCGCCCTGCTGCCCTGCGCATCACGCCCTGCTGCCCTGCGCAGCGCGCGCGCTGCTGCCCGCGCCGCCCAGGCCGAGCCGCGCCGCTCAGCCCGAGCCGCCCTGCCCAACCCGATCCGCCCTGCTGCTCGTGCTACTGCTGCTGCTGGTGGAGGTGCTGCTAGGAGTGCTGGAGGTGCTGCAGCCTAGCCTCACCGAGCCGCTCTGCTGCTCTTACTGCTGCTACTGCCTTCCCTCCGTACTGCCCTACTGATCACGCGCCTCCTTGCTTGCCTGCTATGACTTCACTTCGTAGTAGCGGTGGGAGTAGTGACGGTGGTGGTGGCAGCAGCGGGAGTGTTGGCGGCCGTAGTAGCAGTCGCTGTGAAGCTCTTCGGCGGGGAGTTTCTGGCGGTGGCCAGATGCAGCTGCAGCGGCATCCGCGCGAGACCCTTATGCCCCAGCAGCTACGTGAGTGGTATGCTAGTAGGTGTGGTGGTGGCGGCCGTAGTAGCAGTCGCGGTGGAGCTGTTCAGTGCGGAGTTTCTGGCGGTGGCCAGATGCAGCTGCAGCGGCGTCCGCGCGAGCAGCTTCGTGAGTGGTACGCTCAGAGTGGGGGGACTTGGAGTACTGTCCGCCGCCCGTACGTCATTCGCACAGGTGATAGGGCTGGTCAGACTTGCGGGACAGTTGGTCACACACAGGCTTGCTGCTTCGCCTGTCTGAGCGACGCCTGGCGTGCAGTGTTTGGCGACGAGGCTGAGCTCCCCCGAAGGCTAGAGCTGCTTCGGAACAAGGTAGATATCTTTGCTCTAGACTATGACACTATCCTCATTGCCATGTATGATTTGACTATTAGTACTCAGGGTGACTGTTACCTGTGTGTGCCGCACGACCCTGGTATAGCAGCTGCTGCTTTAGGTGCTGGTGATTCTGCTCTAGGTGCTGGTGAGTCTGCTCTCTCTGGTACTGCGCCTGCTGAGGCCTTGCACACCTTCACGCTTGACTCAGGTGCTTCCCGCTGCTTCTTTCGCGACAGCACCATAGTCACACCACTCGCAGCACCGGTTGCAGTCTCTCCGGCTGACCCCTCTGGGGTACCGGTTCCTCCACTGTTCTCCCGTGTCCGGCGGTTCCGTCTGGCTCACTATCAGGTCTTCACCTCCCCTTGTTCTCAACAAACTTGGTGAGCAACGCCGTCCTTCAGGATGAATGGGTTGATACCTTTACTTCTGGAGGACAGCGTGTGGTGATCTGCACGTGTGCACGCACGGGCCGTCACCTGGCCATGTTCACCCGTCGGCCTGGGTCGAGCCTGTACACACTGACTACTGAGCCTCCTCATGAAGCTGCGCCTGCGTCCGTGTCAGCTCAGCTAGCAGCCCCCTGTTCGTGTCGCCTCCGGCCGCACTAGACTCTCCTTTGGCACCACCGCCTAGGTCACCCCTCCCTGCCACGCCTCCGTGGCATGCACTCCCGCCTCCTTGTCTCTGGTCTTCCCAGGTCTCTGCCTCCCCTCCCACCCTCGCATGCCCCTCCCTGCCTTCCCTGTGTTGAGGGGCGGCAGCGCGCCGCTCCTCACTCCTCCTCATTTCCCTCGACGACTGCTCCCCTGCAGACTCTCCATATGGACGTGTGGGGCCCAGCCCGCGTCCAGGGACAGGGCCGCGAGCGATACTTTCTGCTAGTTGTTGACGACTACTCGCGTTACACCACGGTCTTCCCCTTGCGCAGTAAGGGGTAGGTCTCTGATGTTCTGATCCCTTGGATTCGCGCTGTCCGTCTCCAGCTCCGCGAGTGGTTCGAGACGGACCTTCCCGTCCTGCGTCTGCACTCTGACAGAGGTGGTGAGTTTTCCTCCGACCTCTTGCGGGACTTTTGTCGTGGGGACGACATCCTCAAGTCGTTCACGCTTCAGGCCTCTCCGCAGCAGAATCGGGTTGCTGAGCGCCGCATTGGCTTAGTCATGGAGGTCGCTCGTACCTCCATGATCCATGCGGCTGCTCCCCATTTTGTGTGGCCGTTTGCGGTCCGGTACGCTGCGCATCAGCTCAACCTCTGGCCCCATCTCTCCTTGCTAGAGACCTCGCCTACACTGCGTTGGACGGGAGAGGTTGGCGATGCGTCGGTGTTCCGGGTCTGGGGCTGTTGTGACTTTGTCCGCGATACCTCTGCGAACAAGCTCTCATCGCGCGCCGTTCCCTGCGTCTTCCTTGGCTTTCCCCCTGACGCGCCTGGCTGGCAGTTTTACAACCCCACCTCGCGCCGTGTCCTACCCTCTCAGGACGTCACGTTCGACGAGTCGGTTCCTTTCTACCGTCTCTTCCCCTACCGCACTGCCCCTCTCCCCCCCCGCCACTCTTCCTCGCTCCCCCTCAGGGTCTTGCTCCTTCAGGTGTATCTCAGGTAGACCCACTCCCTTTGCTTGAGCCTGTCGAGGTCACTGGTGACTCTGGTGCTGCTCGGGGTGTTGCGTCTGGGGGTGCTGAGCCTTTGGTTGCGGAGCTTGAGCGTGCAGAGCTTGGAGGTGCTGAGCCTGAGCGTGTGGAGCCTGGGGGTGCTGAGCCTGAGCGTGAGGAGCTTGGAGGTGCTGAGCCTGCGGGTGCGGAGCCCGAGGGTGCTGCGTCTGAGCGTGCGGAGCCTGGGGGTGCTAAGCCGGAGCGTGCGGAGCCTGGGGGTGCTGAGTCTGGGGGTGCTGAGCCTAGGGGTCCTGCGTCTACACTACGGGTGCCTCTCTCACCACAGCAGTTGCACGAGTGGTACGCTCGGCGTTGTAGCCTTTGAAGTGGCGCTGCTGGAGCTGGAGGCCCTGGAGTTGCTAGTCCTGGAGGTGCTGGAGGTACTACTTGTGAACGGGAGTGTTGTTAGGCCCCGTCCTCGCTTGGGCGGAGCCAACCTTGTGGTCGGATGTGCGGGGGTTGCAGCCGACCTGCAGCAATGGGCACGGGGGCCACTGCAGAGGCGCCGAGCTGGAGGGCGCCTGGCTGGGGGGCGCCGAGCAGGTGGACGCCGCCCTGGACGCCTGGTTGGCGTCCCGGACGCCTGGACGGCGTCCTGGGACGCTGGACGCCGACCTGGGCGTCTGGTCGACGTCGTGGGCGCCTGCACGGCGTCCTGGGGGCCAGGACGCCGACCTAGGCGTCCTGGGGGCCCGGACGCCGACCTGGAAGTCTGGCCGGCGTCCTGGGAGGCTGGACGCCGCTCTGGAGGTCTGCACGGCGTCCTGGGCGCCTGGACACCGGACTGGGGACGCCGGGCATGCATGGCCGGCTTCGGACTGCGCTGGTCGGCCAGGCGTGGTTGCCCGGTCGACCGGGATACTTGGGCGACGTGCGCGAGTGTCGCCGGGGTGGAGTCTGCGAGGCCGACCTCGGGGGTGGTATCCCGAGGTCGACGTGGCTGGTGGGCGCAGTCGCTGGCGTGGAGTCCGCCAGGCATCTGCGCTGTGCTGGTGACAAGGTGTGGAGCGCCAACCAGCTGCGCGCACCTGCGAAGCAGGTGCACCGTTGTCCTGCGGATGCAACGCTGTGTAGCCGACTTGCTGCAGCGTTGGCACACCGTGGACTTGCAACGTTGGCACACCGCTACTCTGCAACGCTGGAGCGGTGCGAGCGCTGCT